GCTGAACAAGCAAAGCAGTCGTTCCCACTCTATATTTTCGATCACTATTCACATAAAGGAAAATACACCAGAGGGAGAAGAGATGATCAAATGTGGGAAGTTAAATCTTGTAGATCTTGCTGGTTCGGAGAATATTTCACGGTCTGGTGCAAGAGAGGTATGCTTCTCTGCTGTCATAAAATGGATTAAGATTAGCTAATTAACAGGGGAACGATTGCTGCAGGGACGGGCAAGGGAAGCCGGAGAGATCAACAAAAGTTTGCTGACTCTCGGTCGTGTGATTAATGCACTTGTTGAACACTCTGGTCATATTCCATACAGGTACAAGAAATCGGCTGAAAAGTTTTAAAAAAAAATCTTGATAGTTTTTTATATGCTTCTTGCTCGGTGGTTTTTTAAACTTCCAGAGATAGCAAATTGACACGATTGCTGAGGGATTCATTGGGAGGAAAAACGAAAACGTGTGTAATTGCTACGATTTCATCTTCCATCCACTGTTTGGAAGAGACCCTCAGTACTCTGGATTATGCACACCGGGCCAAGAATATCAAGAACAAACCAGAGGTGGGCTGCTTATGGATTCTTTTGTGTGATTATGTCTTTTGTAAAAAATGTCAGTTCTACCTATTTCTGGTGATTGATTTCAGGTCAACCAGAAGATGATGAAATCCGCTCTCATGAAAGATCTGTACACTCAGATTGACCTCCTGAAGCAAGGTATGGGGATTGCATTAAAGAATTTGTAACTTGGTATTGTCAAGTTCATTCATTTCACATACGATTTAATGTTTTTTTAAATCTTTTAGAGGTGTATGCTGCTAGAGAGAAAAACGGAATTTACATACCGAAAGACCGATATCTTCAAGAGGAGGCTGAGAAAAAGGTTTAACTTTCTCTGAGTTGAATGGTTTAATTTGTTTCTTTCCTGAGTCAGGTTTCGGCTTCTTATAATTGAGATTTTGATTCACTCTCTCCATTTTGATTACAGGCAATGGCGGAAAAAATAGAAAGATTAGAACTCGAATCAGAATCCAAAGACAAGGTACCATTGTCATCGATCCCATATCACTATTAGCTCTCATATCAGAATATTACTTGATCAATTGTGTTGGCACTGCAGCACCTCATTGAGCTTCAGGATCTTTACAATTCTCAGAGGCTTTTAACTGCCAAGCTGAGTGAAAAGCTCGAGAAAACTGAGGTATATGACTAAACGGGCTATAATTTTTCTTCTGGCCCCTCTCAAAAACCATTCTCTTTCTCACTTATCGAAATGCATGAAAAAGCTAACCGGGTGTTTCTTGAAATACCAGAAAAAACTCGAGGAAACTGAACACTCTCTGGTTGATCTAGAAGAAAAATACAGACAGGCTAATGCAACCATCAAAGAGAAGGAATTCTTGATATGCAATCTCCTAAAGTCAGGTGAGTTGATCATCTCTGGTGGGTATTCGACGATGAACAAGAAATGTATCCCTTTTTTCTATTTTAAAGTTTCTCGAAGGGAAAAGTTTCGATTTTTCTCGTTTGTGGAGACTTAGATTCTTCAGGATAGGAGCAATGGACAAGCTTAACTACTTCTCTTACTCTCAAATTTCCTTGCAAATTTCAGAAGAAGCACTTGTAGAGCGTGCCTTTGAGCTCAGAACAGAGCTAGAAAATGCAGCATCAGATGTTTCAGATTTGTTTGCCAAAATAGGTAAGTGTTTGTGGACAAGTAGTTTAAGATTTAACAAGTATAGGGCCCTCTGTTTACTATTTATAGTTGTTGCATATAATGCAGAAAGAAAGGATAAGATTGAGGATGGAAACAGATTGCTAATCCATAAGTTCCAGTCACAACTTACACAGCAGCTTGAGCTACTGCACAAAACCCTAGCAGCTTCTGTGACACAACAAGAACTGCAACTGAAACACATGGAGAAAGACATGGAGTCCTTTGTGTCTACAAAAGCAGAGGTTGGAAAAATTTAGGGTTTCTCTGCAATTTTAGTGGCGGATCTCGTAACCTCATTGACCATTTTTTCCGTTTTTTCCTCTGAAGGCCACTGAAGAACTCTGTGGAAGGCTATCGAAACTGAAGACGACATATGGCTCCGGTATCAAAGCTCTTGATGATATTGCTGTGAAGCTAGATGGAAATTCTCAGTCAACATTGTCTTGCCTGAATTCAGAAGTTTCAAAACATTCACATGAGCTTGAAGATGTGAGTATTTATTGACGTAAAAAAACAATTACTAACCGTATCTCTTTCTCTCTTTAAACTCTTGTCATGAGTTGATCTCTCCTCGAAACTCTGCTCTTGTAGCTCTTCAAGGGATTTGCTACAGAGGCTGACACCTTACTACAAGATCTTCAAAGTAGCCTTAACAATCAAGAAGAGAAGCTAACTGCATTTGCTCGGCAACAAAGACAGGTTAGTGTCCTTTGAAGGGTATATTGACGATACTTAGAAAAGGTTTTTGCTTTAAATATCGCATTTGTAATGAACATTTCTGTTAAATGGCAGGCGCATTTGCGTGCCGTGGAAACTGCAAGGTCAGTTTCCAAATCGACGGTGGACTTCTTTAGGGTTTTAGACACTCATGCATCGAAACTGACCCATATAGTAGAAGAAGCTCAGACTGTTAATGATGCAAAACTTAGTGAATTTGAAAAGAAGTTCGAGGTGAGATTCTGTCTCCTGATTCTTAAACATATCGAATGATGTACGTTACCGACCAAAATGCATCATGCCGTTTTGTCCTTCGTGTAGGAATGTGCTGCGAATGAAGAAAGGGAATTGCTTCAAAAAGTGGCGGAACTTCTTTCAAATTCTAATGCTAGGAAGAAAAGCCTTGTATGCTATTCAATTCTACGAGCCGAATTCTTATAAAATAGCTACTTCAAAACTGACCTTGAAACTTTTTATCTTTTGTCCAGGTCCAAATGGCTGTAAACGATCTCCGGGAGAGTGCTTCCTCCAGAACGGTCAAACTACAACACGAGATGTCGACAATGGAGGATTCAACATCTTCCATTAAAGCAGAATGGAGTCTTCATATGGAGAAAACTGAATCAACATACCTCGAAGATACATCTGCAGTTGAGGGCGGGAAGAAAGCCATGGAAGATGTTCTCATAAACTGGTAGGCAATCTTGCAATATCGATCGTGAAATAGATACCATCTTACATATCCTCTTCTTCAAGAACCTAACCTTTCTATGCATTTCCTCGATCTTTTCAAATGGATATTTCAAAGTCTGGAGAAGGCCAAAATGAGTGCACATCAATGGAGGAATGCCCAAGAATCATTACTCAGTCTAGAAGGAAACAACGTTGCTTCTGTAGACTCCATTGTCAGGTAATCAAGCTTTTTTACACTGTTTTTCTAAGTTCAAAGCCATTGATGTATTCCTTTCTCTTTGTTTTCCGTAGAGGAGGAATGGATGCCAACGAAAACCTGCGAGCTCAGTTTTCGTCTGCTGTATCATCTTCTCTGGATGAGGTTGATGCTGCAAATGGCAATCTCCTCGCTTCCATTGACCGTAAGTAAACACCTTCGTCAATACGATTCTCTTTGAATGCATTTACCACTTTGCTTACAGACTATACGTACCACTCCCTTTGCAGATTCATTACAACTTGATAACGATGCATGCGCAAATGTCAATTCCATGATTGTCCCATGCTGCAAGGATTTGAGAGAACTGAAAGGTGGGCACCATAACAAGATCGTAGAGATCACAGATAACGCCGGGAAATGTCTTCTCGATGAATATGTGGTAAGATTCAACTCTTTTACACGCGTCTCCCGGAAATAAGCCTACGAAAAACAGTCTGATTCCCAGTTAGTATCAGTAAAAGGGAGGTCTTGAACTAAGAAGTAGATTCTAGAAGCTAAAAGGGGCATTCTTGAGCAAATTGCAATAATCGGGTTTATCGATATTCCTGATTATCTGACATAACCCGTCTCTAACTGCACCCTTAACAGACATTGTGAGATTGTGTTTAGTGTCTGAACGTAATCATGTAAGAAAAGGGTATAAAAAATGATATAACCTCACAGTGTTTTTGGTGAAACAGGTGGATGAATCGTCGAGTTCAACGCCGAGGAAGAGATCGTTCAACATACCGAGCATCGGGTCCATTGAAGAACTCAGAACTCCGGCATTCGAGGAGCTGCTGAGGGAATTCTGGGAGGCGAGATCATCGAAGCAAGGGAATGGAGACGTGAAGCAACACCTGATCCGTGCTTATGAGGCTGCTCAGTTGTTGTCTGACTCCAGATTTCCCCTCTCTGCCGTTAACTGAAACGGGCAGATGACAGAAAAATTATGGTAGCAACGATCTGTGTACAGAAATGCGTACTTTAGCTGCTGCGATCTGGGTTTTTTAAACTTTGTTTTTTTTGTTTTGTTTTGGGTTTGGTTTTGAGAGCATTACACACGCATATATATACATAAACAGACACATATATTTGTTCTTTCGTTGTAGGGTTCTGAGTTAGAACCCTAGAATCTGAAATCTTCTGTTCAACCATCAAAATCGTGTAAATAACTAGAGGAACAAGCCCCAGAGAGAGAAGGACAAACGAGGAAGAAGACGAAGACGGTTAAACAGAGGAAAAAAAAAGGGTTGTCGGGGGAACGAGACGGGTGAGGGGAGAAAGAGCGACTCAGTGGGTCGACAGGAGTCAACTCGGAACGAGTCGTCACTGGAAGAAGTACGATCGACGAGAAAGTAACCGTTTCGGTCCACGTGTCTCGCTCCTTTAATCCGACATTATTCACTTGATGTTGTTCTTAAGACGTATTTTTATTTTTCATTAACTAACACATTAATTTACAATTCCGTTACTTAGGTATATATTAAATTCAAATTAAATAACATTCCGCTATGGTGTAATAATATATTAAAGGGATGACTACATTGGATCTGAGGCAGGGATTGAATTAATACAAAACTTTTTATAGGGTACTTTTGTTTAATTAATTAATACCCCAAAAAATGCTTTCCTTGGCAGTTTCTATTTATAGTAACTCTCTGAATCCAATTTTCCAACGAAATAAACTAACAAATGTTACGACCAGACAGAAATCGAGGCACTTTCCCCTCCCTCTTGTATCCATCACCATAACCTCTAAACACAAAAAAAAAAACGTTAATTCCAATAACCCAAAAAAAAAAAAGATTAACGTAGAAAAACAAGCCAATGAACAATAGCAGCTGCATAGAAAGCGAGGATTCAACGAAATGGATGCTAGAGAGCGTAGAGATCGACCGAATGGGAGAGGAATCGACGACAGGAACCGTCAACGACGGTAATGAAAACGACAACAAAAACAACTGTCCGAAGAAGAATCCGAGGAATTTAAGCGTCGGATCGATTATCAGGACGTTGAGCGTCTCGGGATGGCGGAAGAGCAGAAATCTGGGGTCACCGGGTATCCGAAAGAGCGGAAACTTGGGATCTCCGGGGACCCAACATTCTAAAGTTTCTCAAATCTAGTAACTCTCTGAATCCAATTTTCCAACGAAATAAACTAACAAATGTTACGACCAGACAGAAATCGAGGCACTTTCCCCTCCCTCTTGTATCCATCACCATAACCTCTAAACACAAAAAAAAAAACGTTAATTCCAATAACCCAAAAAAAAAAAAGATTAACGTAGAAAAACAAGCCAATGAACAATAGCAGCTGCATAGAAAGCGAGGATTCAACGAAATGGATGCTAGAGAGCGTAGAGATCGACCGAATGGGAGAGGAATCGACGACAGGAACCGTCAACGACGGTAATGAAAACGACAACAAAAACAACTGTCCGAAGAAGAATCCGAGGAATTTAAGCGTCGGATCGATTATCAGGACGTTGAGCGTCTCGGGATGGCGGAAGAGCGGAAATCTGGGGTCACCGGGTATCCGAAAGAGCGGAAACTTGGGATCTCCGGGGACCCGAAAGAGCGGGAATTTGGGCCCACCGATGGGGAAGAAGCCGCCGTTGGGCCCAAAGAGGGTCGAGAGGACGACCTCGAGCGCGGCCAGAGGGCTTCAGAGCCTAAGGTTTCTTGATCGGACGGTCACCGGACGTGAACGTGATGCTTGGAGATCGATCGAGAACCGTTTCAATCAGTTTGCTATTGATGGGAAGTTGCCAAAGGAGAAGTTCGGCGTCTGTATTGGTAAAAACGTTCGAAACGTTATCATCGATATAGCTGCGAGATTAACATTCGAAAACGTTATCGAACATAATAATTCTTTTGATTTATTTGGAATTTAGGGAAAAAAATCGGACTTTCTTTTAGAATAGGTTGAGGTTCTTGCGAATTAGGGTAATCTTCGAATTTCCAACTATTAGGGATTATTTCAGTTTTAAAAAAGATGAATTTGATGTTTAGAATTTTCGACAATGATGATGAACCGCGTACGTAGATATTGCATGGCTAAAAACGATGATTCATGCGTGCCTTATGACTGCATTGTAAATTTTTTAAAGCTGATTTTGAGGTGTCACAACAATTTTTCAAGTGCCTAGAAGATTAAACGTGGAGATGGGTATCTCTGATTGTAACTATTGATTAGGGTTCAGCTCAGAATCTGGAATACATACGAATTTTTATACGGTAATATATATAATATATATTATGAAATACACCATTTTGCATGAATTTGTAGCCGATGAGTGGATTTCCCATTAGTAAACAAGATCTAGCGAAAAGAATCTTTCCAAAATGATGCATATGGTTAAATTTATGAACAATATATACGTATAGGAATGGGAGATACGATGGAGTTTGCGGGAGAAGTGTACGATGCGTTGGCGAGGAGAAGACAGATACATTCAGAAAACGGCATAGACAAAGAGCAACTCAAGATGTTTTGGGAAGACATGAGCAAGAAAGACCTCGATTGTCGCCTCCAAATCTTCTTCGACATGTATGTACTCGACATACTAGTAGTTGCAGTCGTATGTATACACATATATATATACAGATACAGATACATTATATATATGCGTATGTATGTATGTATTTGTAGGTGTGATAAGGATGGAGACGGGAAGCTAACGGAAGCGGAGGTGAAAGAGATCATAGTTCTAAGTGCATCGGCCAACAAGCTCTCGAATCTGAAGCAGAATGCCGCCGCTTATGCTTCTTTGATCATGGAAGAACTCGATCCCGACCACCAAGGCTACATCGAGGTTTGAATTCTATTCCTTTTGAATCCAAATCATCTGTTTACCGCATATTAGAATATGTAACCGGGTATGTCTCTTTGGTTTGATTTAGTTTGGTTTGGTTCGGTTATTTGGTTAGGGTTCGTCTCTCTTTTTTTTAATCGAAGCAAAACCTCTCTTTTTACAAACCCTAATGAAAAAAAACTGATCTGAATAAACCAAACTATCATAACCGGTCGGTCACGTATTGTAATATCGTTAACCATTCTATATAGTTTGCTCAATCGAGAATTGGCTCGGTTCGGTCAACTTCACTTCTTAGATATCCGTTTTCTTATGTCACTGCTTAGAATTATTACAAATCGCATCTTAAAATCAGTATACAACAATTAATAGATGATAATATACAGATAATATATTTATAAAAAAATATATATATACCGATAATATTTTATATTCTACTAACTTTTCCTTTAGTTTACATCCACCAGATGTGGCAGCTCGAGGTGCTGCTGACTCAGATGGTGAGCAGTGGGGACACGGAGAGGATGACGAAGAGATCACAAACCCTAACTCGTGCTATGATTCCCAAACGATACAGAACGCCGGTAAGCAAGTTCGTGTCGGTAACCACAGAGCTAATGCACGAGAACTGGAAGAAGATTTGGGTCATCGCCTTGTGGCTCCTCGTCAACGTTTCTCTCTTCATGTGGAAATACAACGAGTTCACCCACAGCCCTCTTTACCATATCACGGGAAGATGCGTTTGCGCCGCAAAAGGCTCGGCCGAAACCCTAAAACTCAACATGGCATTGATCTTAGTGCCCGTCTGCAGAAAAACCCTAACTTTCCTGAGATCTACCTTCCTTAACCGCTTCATCCCCTTCGACGACAACATCAACTTCCACAAGCTGATTGCTTTCGCCATAGCTTTCCATTCCTTGCTCCACACGGGACTACACATGCTCTGCAACTTCCCTAGGCTGAGTTCTTGCTCTTACGACACGTTCTTTGAGTACGCAGGGCCTGTCTTGGGGCTTAGGCAACCTAGTTACTTGGACCTGATGACAACTTCAGTGTCGATAACTGGTGTTCTGATGATCTTCTTCATGGGTTTCTCCTTCACTCTTGCCATGCATTCCTTCAGAAGGAACATCATCAAATTGCCCAAGCCCTTTAACAACCTCGCCGGGTTTAATGCCTTTTGGTATGCCCATCATTTGCTCGTCATCGCTTACGTTCTTCTCATCCTCCATGGCTACATTCTTATCATCGACAAGCCTTGGTACCAGAAAACTGTACGTATGTCTATATATATATATATATATGTATACATATCATGTTCACTTGGAACTGATTGGTTTAGGGTTTCAAGGTTTTGTTAAAATCAGAGCCCTAACGGTGTTTCACTTGAAAAATGCAGACGTGGATGTACGTGGCAGTGCCGATGCTGTTCTACGCGAGCGAGAGGGTTTTCTCACGCTATCAAGAACGCAACCACCGTGTCAACATCATCAAGGTACGACCACGACCAATATATATATATACACATATACAAAACATTTGCTTATATCGCACGTATAAATTTCAGTTCTAGTTAATCATTATACTTTATTTTTTTTTTAATATTTCTTTCTGCAGGCTATTGTATATCCAGGCAACGTTCTTGCACTCTACATGACAAAACCACCTGCGTTCAAGTACAAAAGTGGCATGTACATGTTCGTCAAGTGCCCCGACATCTCCCAGTTCGAATGGTAATAAAGATTGCGGAGATTAAACAAAGTCGAAATATAAACTTGGATTTTCGATTTTTTTTTTCATACTATACAAATATGTTTAGATCTTGTGTGTTTAATTATTAATTGGTTAGAATAGATTAAAGATCTAATTGGAATCATAAATTAATTTTCTTATTGATAATTGCGGTCTATAGGCATCCATTCTCCATCACTTCTGCACCAGGAGATGACTATTTGAGTGTTCACATAAGGGCCCTGGGAGATTGGACCACTGAGCTTAGGAGCAGATTTGCAAAGGTAATTAATTTCCTAATTTTAACATTTTTGTTCCAAATATATTTGATTTTCACCCCTTTTGTTTGTGTATAGATCATATTAAAACCATGATCATCTTCATGTAAATTTTCTAATAAATCTTTTTTTTTTTAATCTATTTTCATGTAGACATGTCAACCTCCTCAAGCCACAAAAACTAGACCGAATAGTCTAGTAAGGATGGAGACAAGAGCACCAAGTAACCCCAACATCGAAGAATCGCAGCTCTTGTAAGCAAATATCTACGAATATTGTTAGAACTTTATATATTATTTCGTATGCCCAATTAAATCCATTAATCGAAAAATGATAAACATTACGTATACTTTTCCACATGTATCAGGTTTCCGAAAATCTTCATCAAAGGACCATACGGAGCTCCAGCACAGAGCTACCATAAATTCGATATCTTGTTGTTGGTCGGGCTGGGGATCGGGGCAACTCCATTCATCAGCATCTTAAAGGATATGTTGAACCATCTCAAGCCAAACATTCCCAGATCTGTAAGTATCAGGGGGTGTTTTGAGTCCGGTTAGAAATGATGGGGGGTCTAATATTGAAAATTGGAAAATGCAGGGGCAAAGTTTTGAAGGAAGTGTAGGAGGAGAGAGCATAGGAGGTGCAAGCGTGAGTGGAGGAGGAGGAGGTGGTAAGAAATTCCCACAAAGGGCATACTTCTATTGGGTAACAAGAGAGCAAGCCTCTTTTGATTGGTTCAAAGGTGTTATGGATGACATTGCCGAGTTTGATAAAACAGTAAGTTTTTGTTTTTGTTTTCACTTTTTACCACATAATCTTATAATTTGAGTTAGATTCTAAAAAAAAACAAAAAAATTGAAACATCAAATCATGTTTTGTCCGAAACGAAACACAAAAAGTAGAGCTGACTTACTTGGTTAATAACCGAATAACCGAACCGATCCGAACCGAATAACGTATAACCGTAACCGGACCGAATTAGATGTAAAACCGAATGGTTATGCTTTTTCTAAAAACGAAAAAACTGAACCCGAACCCGAACCAAACCGAATAAAAAAATAATCGAAAAACTGTAAATTTTTTTAAGAAAATGAGTATTTTATCATAACCGAACCGTACCCGAACCGAATATAACCGAATCGAACCGAATATAATGCAAAAACCGAATGGTTATAGTTGTTCTAAAACCGAAATAACTGAACCCGAAAATAACCGAACCGAACTCGAACCGAAACCCAATTAAGCCATCCCTAACAAAAAGGAAGCTTTTTTTAATTTTTTTTTTTAATAATCTGTATTATCTATAGTCGAGTTTTGGTGTTTTAACGTTGATTTTAGAGCGTTGAAAGATCTAAACTCTACATTTTTTTTTTGTTTGATAATTATGGTAGTTTCTCAATTACTTTTTTTTTTTAATTTACCCTCAGAACGTGATAGAGATGCACAACTACTTAACAAGCATGTACGAGGCAGGAGATGCTCGTTCTGCCCTAATCGCAATGGTCCAAAAGCTTCAACATGCCAAAAATGGAGTCGACGTTGTCTCCGAGAGCCGAGTACGCACCATTACTATTCCAAAAACAAAAATTACACTAACAAAAGTTCCCCACTCATTTCAATTATAATTTATAACCTTTTTTTTTCCTCTAACGATCGGATCCGATTTTGATTCAGATACGAACGCATTTCGCAAGACCTAATTGGAGGAAGGTTTTCAGTGACTTGGCAAACAAACACCAAGCTGCTCGCATAGGTATGTATGTATATATATATATGTGTATATATACATATATGCGTTTCTTTTTCCTATTAGATCTCATCAAATCGAATCGGATTTCGCATTTTTAAATGATGGGTTTGTGAAATAATCGATTTTTTTTTTTTGGGTGTAATGTGTTTGGGTGTTGTTTGCATGCAGGAGTGTTCTACTGCGGAAGCCCGACACTCGTCCGACCGCTTAGATCACTGTGTCAGGAGTTCAGCCTCGACTCATCCACTCGTTTCACTTTCCACAAAGAAAATTTCTAACCATTATCCCAATTTTTTGTTTGTGGTAACAACAATAAACAAACACACACCAAAATTTTTGAATATACTTTAATGTACTCAAAACCAGATTGGTTCTTGGAACACAAAATATACGGAACAGGTTGTGATGTAATTAGTGAACCGATGTGTACCACTTCTACTCATGTCCTGATTGAGAAACTCTACAAAATTCCTACACTTTTTTCCCCTTCTGCTTATATCTATCTATTTTTTTTGTGTTCATGCCATTCCATGCATAGCTTTTGAAAACTATATACAGATGAAATTTCAAAAGGAATCTCTCTCCCGTGAACGCGCCATAAAACATTTATATCGCATAATAAACTAATCAACCGACTAATGACAAGATGCTGATGTGTCCTTTTCAGACAGGGCACCACTCTGGTGACAAACGCTCACATTCCATGCTTTTAAAGATCAATACTCTATTGATTCATTAATACAACTGCTCAGCTAAGGCTCTTACCACATTCTTGATTATAGTTTCCCACCTCTAATTTTGATTTGATCGAGCATATGACCTAATATGGGTAAATGGGTATAATAACAACATTCAGATTCAGGGTGAAGCCTGAAAGAAAGAAAAAATACATACCTTTTAACCACTAATCAGTGCTGCAATGAATGATGAGCTCTGATGCGGCCATTTGGGACTGACCCACCATTTTGATTCCCCCCTGGCCAGACCACCAATGTTCTTCCAAGACCAGACCTGAATACCCCAACTGCTAAGCCATAGGTCACAAGCCAAGGCAATTGTGATGGTTGCAGGCTTCTTAGAATAAGAACCGCCTAAAAACACCAAAACCATTCACCCAATGCCCTCTTATCAAGAATCTTCAACCCTTCCAGCCAAGTGTTTCCTGCTCTAGAGACAACTAGTTTATATATTGGCCAGTCTCATGGAGTATATATACCCTAGATTTCCCCCATTATCCCCTCATCTCATTTAACTACACAGGCGATCTACCTAATATCACCATGGTTAGTGGTGGGACAAAGTTGGCGGTGCCGCCCTTTAAACAGAGGATCACAGAATAGGTTAAAATCCAAACAAAAAGGATCAAAACCTGACATTTACCAAAACAATAGAAACTTCATTGCATATATGGTGACAGTTATCACAAATTGATACCCAGAATCAATATTTTTCCTATCACTATCTCGGATATGAAATCATTCTGAATCAAAATTGCCACAGAGTGAAACCTTTACCTTCGTTCACCCAAAATTTGGAAAAATTTCCCCATCTTCAACTAGAATCGCCAAAAGCGACCAACTTCAACTATCTTACTCCTTCACCTGTCTCTTTTTCTTGCTCTTCTTCTCCTCGGAACCTATTTCTCCACCACTCTTCCTTTTCTTCTTCTTCTCCTTTTTCTCCTCCTTCCTATGCTCGTCTTCTGCTTCGACTCTCGTTTTTACTTCTCCGCCATCAAAGTTTTCATCACCTTCTCTATTTTTCTTATTCTTCTTCTTCCCCTCTTTTATCTCACTCTCTCCATCCCGACTCGGTCCTTGACTCACCTGTACTCGTTCATGACTCCGCTCCTGCTCCCCCACGGTCTTACTCTCCCGACCACCAATCTCCCCACCACTATTAACCAAATCACCATCTCCTCCACTCTCCTTCTCCTTCTTTTTAAGCTTCTTCTGATGATGATTTCCATCGTAAGCTCCCTCGCTCATATCGTCGGGTCGACCCGGTTCGTCGGATGCAAGGGTCGGGTTTCGCACCAACGTAACATCGGATCTGGGCTTCTTTTCCTTCAAGTTCGAAGCTTTAAGGTCCCTGTGAATACCCTTCAGCTCGTTGAAGGCCACGGTGGCGCGTCGGAGGTACGCGCATACAGCTTGCGTTGCGCCGTTCTCGGAGGACGCGAATTTGGAGAGAATCGACGCCGCTTTTGAGACGGAGATGGGCCCTGCGCTGATGACTCTTCCGGTCACCGTCTTCATCGGACGATTCTCGCGAAGATCTTCGCGCCCAGTGGCCGACGATTTAGGGATTTATTTTTCAAGGGTTTTAGGTTTTACGGAGTTGCAGGCCCACATATATATATGCGCAACACCATAACACCCACACAATGCTAGGTGAAATACCGTTTTTACCCTTTTCCATATTTTTTCCCAATCTTACAGGTATGGATTTATCGAATCTCTTGTAATACAAACTTTAATTTTGTTACAGTTTTTGCGTCATTAAAAAATATCATCGGAACTTTATTTATAGAAACATTAACGTGTGATTTATGACATTTCCAATGGTTATCTCTGTGAAGCTTCAAACCTCCGAATGCATGTACATACATATACAGTTATATAGGCCGCTGCCTATGTAACACCACAAAGCAAAAATATTATTGCTAGGCATGTTGAGCAAAGCCTCTGTTAGAACCAGAGGCACACGGAAGCTGCCCCATTCATAAGAACAATGCTCCTCCTACGGCAACATACGTTTCTTTATGTAAAGTTCACTCCTTATTTTTCAGCCCTAACATCATATTGAGGAACCTCTCTCGTCTCTCAGAACATCCCTGCAAAAGATTCACATAAAACTTGCCAATTTTCGCCTTCAAACCCTCCATCGGGTTTTTTTCCGTTTCAGATTCCCGTAGTTCTATCATCGTTCTCTCGAAATATCGAATCCCGGGTTTAAGACAGTTAACTTGCAAGAAGATCCTGTGTAAAAGCTTTAATGTCAGCCATACCTTGGGGTCTGTAAAGCTTTTTATACCTCTTCTACTTCGGGTAATCATATAGCGTGATCTGCAACTGCGATGCATCTGCCTCGGTCACGACCTGTCTTACGAAAGCCCGTCTCCACCAAACTTCGAAAGCTCGTTGAACATTCGGGCAATCGTCTCCTTTGCTCAAGAACCTGTCGAACCACTTCATCAGAATCACCTGTTGCTGTCTTAACGACAAGGTCAGTATGGTTTGGCTCAACCCTTCTTCCACCACCTTCCTGTCCAGAGATCGCGAAGAAGCTCTCCTCATCCACCCGAAATCATCGTACAGAGCCTCTAACCACGTGTTCAGAACAGAAAACCGAGCTTCCCGGTTCACCAAGATCCTTCCTTTACCGATCCCAACGCATATCAGTGCGGTGATTCTGCTTATTTCGTGTCTGTACATTGTCGGGATCTTGGAATGGAGATCCGCTAACTCCTTCTGATCCGCCCATAGTTTCACGAAATCTTCACAAAACTTCTTTTCGATCAATATATCCACCACCCAAACCAAGTTATCAGCTTCTCGGGCGATTTCTCTCATCAGAACACCTCGATCTTTCCCTGGATCGTTCATCTGAGAGGTGGCTTCTGATAAGCAGAGGACGAGAGATGTGAGGCAGCGATGGCAAAGGCTGTAGAGGATGTTCTTGGAGACATCGTGATCGGATTCTTCTCGTAGCAACCGATAGATTAAAGACTTCATTTCCCGACGAGCTTTATCGTCTTTTGCTTGTAGAACTCCGGTCAGGAGTTGCAAGTAGATATCATCGGTTCTCGATGATGATGAAGTGGACGATTCAGATGATACTCTCTGCAGAATCGAAGTGACTAAATCGGGAAGATCGAGTTCTCCAAGACATGATACCACCATCTCTTCTTCTTCCTCTGTCCAAGGAACTGCTTCCAAGTACTCCAAGCATGACATTACTCCCTCATCAAACATTATGGCGGCAGAAACCTATGCAAAGACATGACAGCATTACAGAGAAACCATGGCGGTTGGTGATAAAACAAGCAACACTCAAATTCCATTTCCAGTTTCAAATTCTCACTTTTTTCAGCAACCAAAACAAGACCAGCCTAGCACAATCCAAGAATCTTCATCAAGAGACACATTATCATCAAAGCAAAACGTCAATCCATCATTCATGAGTTCATACCTTAAGCAAAGCCAGGATTTTGCAGACATTTTCTCCGACCAGCCTCTTCTTGAGATCATCGCAATACATCAACACCACAGTCTCTACATACACCTCTACATCATCACACTCGCTGATCTCCACCATGTGAGAGACCCCTTTTTCTTTTCGACTGCTCATCTTCTCCATGAAAAATCTGCTCTTTTCCGATAATACCCTTCTGTGCACATCCATGGTGACTCTGTACCCGTCCCTCCCCACCACCGTCAGCCTCACGTCGCCGGGTCCCAGGCCGTAGGCGTAAACGATGCCGTTCTTGAAATCCGTCAGGATCTTCGCCACACGCGCGTGGGATTTCTTGCGGGACTCGTCTAGGGTTTTGGACTCTCGGTTGTGCTCCTCCGACATCATCTCGAAAAGGGTTAGGTTTGAGTGACTCGGGCGAGTCGACTCGTTGGGAGGCGGCGGCGGAGGAGGAGACGCTGTGGGGGAGGAGATTTTGGACAGAGCTGTGGTCCTCGATGGAGAGAAAGCGAGAGATGGGTCTGAGATAAACCCTTGTTTGATCATCGTTGATACTTCTCTAGACGCCATTGAAATGGTAAAGTTTGAAGCTTTTCCCAGGAAAAAGGAAGACAAAGTAGTAAATCTTCCAGGAAATTAGAACCTGAATGACTTGAATTCTCCGGGGAAGTAGCGAGGCCGAGAGATTTTGCAATTTTTCCGCGGGAAAAAGGAGAGGGAGAAAATTATCCAAGAAAAGAGAACGAGATTGAAAAGAATTTTTCCGCGAAAAGCAAAGCAGACGTCGAATTTTTCCGTCGAGACGCAGAAAGACGGAAACTTTCCCGGGAAACGAGGAATCAAGAGGAGATTCTCCGGGAAAATGAAATCAAAATGCGGAAAACTTCTGGGAAAGTAGAGAAGGAACAAGAGTTTCCGGGGTAAATGAAGAAAACAAACAAAAACGAAGATAACACGAACTCTGGGAGATTTTCGGCTGAAACAGACAAGAAAACCTGAAAAATTTTCTGGGGAAAATAAAAGAGTGGACAAGTTGGAAGATTTTCCCAAGTAAATTAAACGGAAAGAATCAGAGTCCAAGAAGAAGAGTGAAACTTGGATCTGAGATCAGCACAGAAAAAAAAACAAACAAATTGCATAAAATTATGGTTCTCTGAGATGATTAAAAACCTGAAGAAAAGCGGCTCCCTTTCTCTTTGTTTATATCTTCACTTTTCCTTCACAGACAGATCATTGCCTCCATGTGCTCTCCTCTCTCTCTCTCTCTCTCTCTCTCTCTCTCTCTCTCATACATCACATATATTTATATATAATGAATATGCATATATGCGCTTTCCCATGAACATGTATGTATGTATGTATGCATCTGAATATTCATATAATTAAATACAAAAGACACTAATTAAAATTTTCCATTGGCGATTGACGTGTGATGTATTATATATACACATGATTGATGATTCCACTGATATTTTATCTTATCCCATAGTAAAAAATCTGTCGAATGATGAAATGTATCTTTTTACCAGTAATCAGAGTGATCTTGCAATGTGTTATGTAGGAATTTTACCGTTATTGCTTGTAGTCGCATGATGAGGCATATATATATATATATACACACACGCATGTGTAACATTCTTTATGAGACATGAATATGATCTAAGTCATACTATAAGATTAATATTGTATTTAATGAATGGGTTTGTCCAACGGTTAAAAATGCAAGTGTCAAAGTCAAGTCAAATTAAGCTGTACTGGTAACCAGCAATGACTAAATCTGCATCCCCACTCAATAAGAGGCGTTTTATGAAAATAAAAAATAGAAACTGAAAATGCAAAAAAGATAGATTTTTTTTCCACAAAAAATAAAATAAATTTACAATAAATTCGGGGGGGGGGGGGGGGGGGATGATGGAAAAGACAATCTTAGAATAAAAAAAATTGCACTAATTAGTTTTTTTACCTCGGTTGTTAAAATGAATATTGATACTTTTATTGTATGTATCTAAACCAGGTACATCGGCATTTGATATTTCTGTTTTTAATTTTAAGTTCTGATTATAAATTCTGATGAATATATTAAAAACATATATATATATATATATATATATATATATATATATATATATACAGAACAAGGTATTAGATTTCATTTCCTCTTTTTTTCTATTTGGCAAAAAAGGTATGGCCAAATCAATAAAAAAAATGGTCTATCAAAGGAAAAAAATATGTGAAAGGGAAGCAATGGCCCAAAGCATTAACTACCGAAGAAATTTCCTTCGAGCAAAGGATTTTATTTGAATATTTTAAAATTTTGGTTAGAAAGTTGCCTGTCCCTCGGGGCATATCTAAAGTTGGAGGTTGTTTACATTATTAATAATTTCTGGTTGCGAATATCACAAGAACTATATAGTAAACAAAAAATTTTATATCACACTGAGCTCCATGGAGACTGTTAGGCACGGTTGGTGGCCAGTTCGTCTCCGTTTGTAAGGGTAGATAGTTACGGGATTCCTAATGTATCAAAAAAAAAAATTATATCACATTAAATATGCGTCGTTTGTCACCTTTTTTCAAGTCAACAATCAATGTATCATCCTTAGGCCAGATATTTTTGTGTTTGGATTTGTACATAAAATCTAGATTTAGTTGGGTAATTGTAAAAAAAATATTTATTCTAATTTTTATTATATTTATATTTGAGCGGAACATTTAAATTGGATTAATTTTAAAATTTTAAAATTATATCAAATGACTATTAGATTATAATTATATTTTATTCGATTTCATTTATATACTAGAAATCGAAATATTCACTTGCTACCAAATGTTCTACCGTTACTTTGATTTAATAACCAATAAAATTTGAAGACAGCGTTTAAATATTAAATATGTATCATGATTAATGATAATCGGCCTCTCTAATCAGAAAACCACATAAAAAGAATTTCCACTCTATAGTTTGTGATCTATATTTTTTATGAGAACATATTTTGTCTAAACAAATAGTATAATTTAAAACATAGTGCTTTAAAGACTAATGTAATGTTATAATAATAATAATAAAAAAAACAGTTGGAGATTCGAATGGTACATAGATTTCCCAAGTGTCGGGAAATGTTGAGTGAGTTCATTAAATTTGCGTAGAGTGAGTGCATGTGGAGGATTTTTATTAAGAAATTGACCACTTCCCCAAACACAACGTAAGCTCTCCAATGGCATTTATCAAAATAATAATAATAATAAATAATAATAATAATAATAAAATTGACAAATTCATGAAGGAAAATTCCCCAAAAAATATGCAAGTTTATATCAGTAAAACAAACTAAGACACTTAGTTGGTCACTATTTGTTTGATTTTCTTTAGTTTTAGAAAAATTTACAACATTAAAAATTTTCACCCAAATTTTGGTGGACTAGCCGTAATATAACATGCAAAATATATCTTAACCCGAGTTTAAATCCAAACGTGGAAAATAATGTTTAGATAAATAAGAATTTTCGACAACGGTTGAATTTGAATATAAGGGATTAGTTGTGCCGAATGTTTTTTGAAATTTTTTATTTTGAACGGTTTTATGTTGATTTAATTTTTAAAATTTTAATAAAAATATTGGTTTTTATATCGGATTACTGTGAAAATGAATTGATTTTATATAATCTGCTCAACTCTGGACTCGGCAAATAGATAGATACCGGTAGACGGTAGTTCATTTTTTTTTCTTGTGGCTCAAGTAAAGTAAACAGTGAATGTAGTTAGGGTTTATGATTCTTTTGACATTTTCAGAACATTTATCCAGTTTTCTCGTTCTTCTTCTTCTGTAGTCCTGTTTCATCAATGATTTCATTCAAAATGGCGATACACGCACACACAAACACTGATTCTAATCACTGCATACACACACACATCTAAATAGCATACATTCTCTTTGTCAGAAACCCAGAAACCTCCATGAAACCCGGCATCATCATCTGTCGGGATCTGGCCATGGATTCTCCATGCTCGTTTCTTGCGTTAGAAGCTTCGATCCGATGCTTCACCACCCAATACCCCATCGTCCCGAGCGTCGTCACCATTATCGACGATCCGACCACCGTCACTCCGATCGCTAGCCACCGCTCT